GTGTTGAAACTAATTTATGATTCGGAGACAACAACCATAAATTAATACAAAACAAAACTAATCATAAATTAGAATCATACATAAAGACGGAAGAATCAATATACCTCCCAATTATCAGTAAGATTTAAAAATCGTTCAAATACCAAACTTTTGCTTTAAAAAATTATTTATAGAAGATAAATAACGGGTATTAAAGCTAGCACCAAATTTTGCTTAACATCATCAACTTACCACGTTTGATCGATTTCTCTAAATCACATCAACGTGATTCTTCTTCCTCTTCAACTGTTAATATATAAAAACCATAAGAGAGAAAGTATTTTGAGCAAAAGCATAGAATATTCTCCTAAGTTTAAAAGTATAACAGAGAATATTGATAAGATTCATAAATATCGATTAATTTTTCTTAAAAAAAAAATTCAAAAATCGAACAACAATCTAAACGATAATTAAAAAACAAATACCTTGATGAACACATATATTAATAACCAAAGTGCCATCTCCGCCGGGAACATATGTGTTAATGCACTTAGAAACGAATAATCTTATATAATATAGTAAGATTTTTCAAAGTTCAAGGCATGAGAAGCTGCCATATGTCACCTAACTTTTTGACATTTTTTTAAAAATTATTTATTGAAATAAAAGAAAAATTAAGTGTCTTTTAATAATTTTAACAATTAATTCTAACAATATTGTTTTTGTTTTTTGGTCAACCTAATTTAATTCTAACAATTTAATAGTTAATTCTTATGTAAATTAATTTTAACAAATTACAATTAAGTATTTTTGTGTACATTTATGTAATTCTTATGTAAATTATAATATAATTGATTTGTAATTACCTATTACACAAATCTGGTATTTTATGTAATTTCTAACCAAGACTCTCGATAGAAACTTTACTCCATCACAAATTGTAAATCCAGTAAAATAGCAATGAATTGATGTAAAAGATAGAGTAAGACAAAAATACGATCAAATATCTATTATTCTATCTTTATGATTCAAGGTTCTAATGAAATAAACAAAAAAATGCATTCTAACTCCTCTATTGAGATGATATAGATATCTCGGTAGAAGCACAACATACTACAACTTGTATAATCAAATATATTTTTACAGACCTTATTTGATGCAAAAAGACGACCAACCATTTTTTTTAGGAAATTGTAGTGAATATTGATTCAGTTATAAAAGTTAAAGATTTGTGTCAAATAACATTGAAACCATGTATAACATTGTTTCATATACTGTAAATTTTATTAATGAATCATCTATTTTTTTTTATATATAACATTGTATATGTCCACCAATTTGATGCAAATGCTTAATCTTCTAACTTAGA